CTGAACCACAGAGCTTTGCTCTTCTCATTCAGCCTGTATGATCCTGGCAAGTCTTACACCCCACTAACCCCTTGCTCTTATCTGTAACCTCCTGCCCCATTGCTTATCTCCCAGTGTTTGCCCCCACTGTAAGTGTCTTGCAACTCTCTGGAATTTCTTTTTCTTTATTATTTTATTTCCCCACCCAAAAGGCCCCAGGTGCAGCCCTAGCCCTGCACATACTCTTCCACCTCCGCGCCGCCCCACCACTGCTGCGAGGATGCTGCACACACACCACGGGAAATAAAAGCTCTATTTTTACAGCTGCTGGCTCCGCGTGGTTGTGCTGCTGCTGCTAGAGCCTCTGTGTTGGCTAAAAAACACAAGCTCCAGCTCCTTCCTAAGCTCAGGCCAGCCAGACTGCTTGCTGGAGGAAACATTGCTGGACCATTCCCCATAGGCAGAGGTGCAGGTGGGGACTCTTGAGGCACTGTGATCTGGCTGCATTGGCAGAAATTAGCACTTGAAAGCCTGGGGCTGCTTAGCACTTACCCAGTGTGCTCCCTTCTGCAGCTGTTCCTCATTAGTCAGTCTGCCAGCCCAGCTGCCTCCAGGACTGCGTCATCTCAGGGTTATATAGAAACAATAGCATAGCAAAGAGCACTGGGTTTGGTCACATCTGCAGGGCAAGGGGTGACCTGTAGTTTCTTCAGCCACATGTGGCCTGGTAGGCAGTGTCTGGGAGTGGGCTGACCTGCAGTTAAAAGAGGGGAGGACCCAGCAAAGGTCCTGGACTTGGGGACCCCAATACAACACCTTCCACTGGGCTGGGGTCAGGAGAGAGCTATCAGCCCTGGTGGCTGTGCGTAGCACGAGGTAGGAAGCCTTCCTCTAAAACTGAGCAGAGGCATGGCACTTGCCTGGCACCCCCTGCATCTAAGCAGGCACTAATTGGCCCTTCACTTGCCAGCCTCCAGAATGGTGGGTGGCCAAGGGGCCAGAGAGGCTAAACTCTTCTCTGCTGTGTGTTAAGACTGCAGGGCAGGGCTGAGGGAGGGCTGCAGGCAGCAACACTAGGGGCTAAAATAGCTGCTGCCCAGGCCATCCTTGTTGCGTTGCCCCAGGCCTGTATGGCTGGAGCCTTTCACCTCCAGGGTCCTGTCTGTCTATAACTGGAGTTGCATCTTTGTCTAACTCACTACCCAAAGCCCCCAGCTCCCAAGAGAGCCCAGGAAATGCCAAAGAGGGCAAGTGGCCACCTGTTCTCATTCCTTCTCACTGGAGTCAGCCTCTGTCCACAGGGCTGGGGCAGCTGCTGGCAGCCCCCTGTCATGGACTAGCCTGAGCCAGTTTGCTGCCCTAGAGGAAAGAGCACATGCAGCAGCTCCTTACATGCTCCTGGTGGCTGCCCCACGTAGGACTTGGCCTAGGGCAGGCCTGCCTCAGGTCTGCAGGCTCTGTGCTAAACTTGCAGAGCTGCCTCAGCTCTGGTAGCTCAGGTCTCAAAGGGAGTCCATGCATTGGGGTTTCTCTGGTTCCACACCCCCAAGCTGACTTCTCTGTGCTAGGGGAAGCCTAGAGCTCCCCTGGGTCTATGCTCACCAAGACAGGCTGACACCAGCAAGTCCCAGGTTTCTGTTAGCAAGTTGCACGGTGTTGCCATTGGAAACGCACAGAGAAGCCTCCTGGTTGCCATTCACCTAATGAGTCCTCTGGGTAGGTTGCATCACTTGCCCCAGGGATGGTGGCAGGGCCTAGGAGACTGGTGCTGCCTGGCTGGCTCCAGGCTGTTTGGCTGTGACAATAGCCTGCTTCCAATACCTGTGGAAGGGGCATGAGACCTGACCCCATCCTATGGCCCAGCTAGTGCCTGCTGGGCCACACTGTGATGCTGTCTGGGCTCTGCAGGCTGCCCACTAGATCCAGTCTGTGATGCAGTGCAGCGAGGCTGGAGGGCCCCAGTGCAAGCTGGCATAACCAAGACCACAGTCAGCCCTGCATTTCAAGATTGATGCCCCCCCACAGGGACCTGTCACCAGGCAGGGCCAGGGCAGTTTATTACTTGGGCTGCTAAAATCTCCAAGGCAACCTGAGCTTGTTCTTCAGTACCTGGTTCCTGTCCTCTAGCTTGGCAACTAGCCACTACCCTAGTAACCTCCTAGTGCCAATTTCACCATCCCTGGGAGCTGTTTTCAGCCTACCTGTATGCTTCCAGCCCTGTCTCCTAGGTACTGCACTCTGGATCCCTCTTGCTCCTTCGCATTACGTCGCCCAGCACAGAGATTGGGCCAGTTTCCAGTGACAGCTCTGTGTATACCAGAGCCCTCTGTGCAGCCACCTTCAGAAGCCTGGGCACTAGTGCCCTGTGTGGGCTGCTGGTAGGTGCTCAGTAACAGGGGTAGAGAGTCAGGAGGTGGTTATTCGTTTATTTTAACAGAGTCTTTCAGTAAAGGAAAAGAGGTACTGTTGCTCCTGCCCCTATCCCAGGCAGAGCTTCAGTGGGGACTGTTCCATGTTCTGGTCCTCCTGCCATTGTGATGGAGGCCAGCTGAGCTCCTGTGCAGACCCTGAAGAAGAGATCTCCTTCCCCCTCCTCCAGCACACAGACCCAGAGCTAAGAGGGTAACTCTGACAGAGGTAGATAAGTGCGGCTGTGGGTGTAGCTGCAAAGACGCAACCCCCTTGCAGCTGGGGCAAAGCAAGGTTCTAAGCACCATGCTGCAGTCTGAACATGCAGGGGGCCTGGGGCAGCCCCACTGGCTTCCCAGGCCTGGATCTGCCCTGGAGGAGATGAGCTGTAGCTGGGCTGTCTGACATAGCTCTGGTGAGGGTGAACTGGTACAGACACAGTACGGCGCAGTGCCCAAGCAGCTGGGTTCCATTGGCTCTTCTGCAAACCTGGCTGGACAATAGATGCCCAGTCTCTTTGGGGTTGAGATGTCATGCACCTTCTTCCTGGCAGCAAGGAATGATAGCTTAGTGATAGCTTGGAGAAGCATAGGCAGCTGTGATCACAGAAACCTCTCCTCCAAACAGGAAGGCAATGCTAAACCCCCACATTCATTCTTCCTTCCCCCAAGCTTTGCTGCTGGAGAGGCCTTTAGGATGGCTCGGCTGAGCTCAGGCATGCTGCACCAGAACCCCCCCACCCTTATAACCAGCTCCGAGAGCAGCAGGATCCCTTTCAAAGCAGCTAATGGCAAAGATGGTGCTTGTAATCAGTCTGTTCAAAGGAGCTCCCTGCCCCCTCCACAGCAAATGACAGCCCTGCTCAGCTTCTAACAGCAAAACCAAGGGATCCTGAAATTACCCCCAAAACCACCCAGGACCTCTGCTGGGAACAAGGGAGAAAAGTTCTCAGGAGCTGGGTGCAAAGAAAGAGGGTGTCAGCTCTGTAATGCAGCCATTACCTGTGGTCCCAAGCAACCTCCCTGAGGGACTGGCCAGGTAGGTCATCAGCATCATCCAGCGTCATTACTGAGCCATAAGACTAGGGAACTTCATATGCCTTATAAAACCACCTGGAAGGGGGAAGGGCGGTGCTCACCAGGAAGAAAACATCCTGGTGACCCTCTGACTATCCCAATCCACAGCTGAGGCCAGATGTGTCTGCTCCACCAAAAACCTCCTGCTTGGCTCATGGTGACTTTCCTGACTTCAAAGGCCCCTGCTTCAAAAACAGATGCCCCTCAGAAGCTACCCCCGACGGGCCAGGCACTGAGCTCATAGCAACCATCCAGGCGTACACGGCTCCGTACTGTCTCAGTTCCTTTCCCGCGACAGGAGAGAACACTTGCATTACTCTGCAGTGCCCCTGTCTGGACATTGTACAGCACAGCACATGTGGTTTCTGAAATGAGATCTGGTTGGGGCTTCCCAGCTCTAGGAAAGTCACCAGGGTACAAAAATCCCAGGGCCACATCCCAGCTCAGGGCTACAATTTGGAGAGTGATCTTGAGTACTGCACCCCATCCTGGAGATATGAAAAGTTAGGTTCACCCAGTCCCAGACATGTATCCCCGCACTGCAGGTGGCTTGGTTTTGCCTAACCTGAGTGTAAATCCACTAGGACCTTTGCTATGTCCATACCAGTGATTCTTAGCTAGATGCTGTAGCACCCTGGGGTGCCTTGAGATCCTTTCAAGGGTGCTGCAAGGTGCAATGGAACGTTAGCACTGTTAGGTGTGAAAACATGATTCACAAGACAAACCCAGAGATTTCAAATAGGAATCCAGTGTTACGTCATTGTGGTCTTTCTGAGCTCTTGGCAACACAACAATTGCTCTGCTATTTTTCCATAATCAAAAAATGAGTGTAAACAAAGAACTGACATTTTCCGAGAGGTGTCTCGAGTCTAACAAGGGGTTCCTTGAGTTTAAAAAGGTTGAGACCCACTGGTTCATACACCACACTGCAGTGCACAGGCTAGGCTGACTTCTGAAAGCAGCTCAGTCACAGTTGCAGGGACTCCACTCAGGGTAGAATGGCACGGGGGATTGCTTAGATCCACCTCGGTATCTCCCCGCTGCATTACACAGTACAGTGCAAGCACCCTCTAACCCTATTGTTAGGGCAGCAGAAACGTTCTGACAAGGTAGGCCGGCTTCCTGCTTTCTCCACTGGCTGCTTCATAGAGCAAGTATTTAATGGGTACACACTTCAGCGTTGATAAAAGCCACAAGGAAGGAGGCAGTGCCAGGGAGCAGCCTTGCTCATGGTGCGTTGAGGTGGTCCAGTGACTGTGATCCCTGGGGATGGGAA